TGAATAATACTAATAAACAGTATACTAAAACAAAAAATATTCAATTAAAAGGTGGTTCAGATTGGTCCTTCTTTCCTTAATAATATATAAAATCAAAATGTATTCTTATGAATAAAAATAGTCAAAATGTGAGTTTAATAAGGAGAATATAAAATGGTGAGTTTATAGTTGAATAATCCATACCATTTCAAACATATTAGATATTTGGATGTATGACTGATGATGGATAGTATCTAATTACTTGGGATGATGATACAAAAGAATATCAAATTAGATGTTATAAGGAGATATGAATAAGAATGAATTAATATTATTAAAATATTATAAGAATTATTCGTTTATATTTGAATATTGTGTATATAAAGTTTAGGTTTGGAGTAACATTATTTTGGTTTAAAATTGAAAAAAAGATTAAGAAAAACTACTAAGAGTTGGAAGATTGAATTTTAAGAGAAGAAAAAAAGTTGAAAAAATAATCTGATGAAAATGTAAATAGACTTTTTTTATTAGAGAAAAAGGGGAAAAAAAACATTTCGAAATAATAAATTGACTTTTCAAAGAAGAAAATGAAAAATGAAGAAAAAGAGTTAAAAAAAAATATACTAATGAAAATTGGCTTATGAAATGAAAAAAATTCTTCGATAATATTTAAAATTGGCTTTTCAAAGAGACAAAATTAAAAAATGAAGAGATAATAGAAGAAAAAATGTTGAAAATGAGATAAGCAATACTTTTGAGAATAGATACCAAAAATCTTGATTTATTAAGTTTTTTAGGACATATTTTTTTCAAATAACTTTTATTATAATTGTATAAAAATAGATTATTCTTGATTCAATTTTCTTGAAAAAAAATAATTTAATGTTTATTAAATCTTTTTTGATCAGAACCTCAAAAGAGATCAACTAGAAACCAGTGATGGATAAATGAGTATTATAAGACTAAAGGATACTACTTTAGTTATTAGGATCAAAAGATGAAGGCTCTGGTTCAAACATTAAGAACTTTTTTATTTAGCAATTTAAAAGTTATTTGGTACAATTCTATGTGAATCACTCAATAACAAACCAAAACAGAAGGGCTTTGATTCTTTTATGATAACTTATAACAAATAGACAATAATTGTAAACAATATAAATGAATTTATTTTTACTATATAATCCCTTTTCTAAACTTTGATGGATTAGATTTTAATTTACGATTGAAATATCTAGTGCAGTATATTTTTTAGGAAGTAGGGTTAATTACAAGATCCGATAATATTAACTAATTGCATAAATAAGAGATGAGAAAAAATATAATGAATAAAAGCTAAGATTAAGAAACGAACATTTTAGTTTGATAAAGTATAAGATATTGATGTAAAATATTAAGTTATACTGATTTATGGATAAAAACTACATTAAAACCTTCTAATCCTAATTATTAAGATCGATCTGAATTGTTTAAGAATTTAGGGAAATACATGATTAGACAACTTAAATTATCAGACTAAATTTTCATCGTTTTATCTTTTTTTCATCCTTAATTTATTTACAATGCAAATGTTAATAGATAGTTCTTCTATAAACTACAAAGTGTAATTCCTATTAATTAATTAATTTTTTTTTAAATCATTATTTGCTAACGAAAATTAATTAAAGTATTTGAAAATAGAGAAAAAAAATAGTGTATTTTAGATAAGTTGGATATTTATCTCTTATATAATTATAGCAATAAAAAACCTAAATTCATAAGAAAGTCTTTTCAAAAATGCCAGAATTAAAGAAGGCTAGATAAAAATTTAAATGTGAACCTCTAAAATTGGAGGATTTATAACTTTTAAAATTAAAGACAGCTGAAGAAAAAAGGAACAAAAAAATCAAAATTTGAATTAGTTAAAAGAAAGGATTATGCTAGACTCAGCAAATACTTATTTAATTATTGGTTGATAATAAAATTTTCGAATAAAACTGAAATAATTCTTAAATTATTGAACAAAGAATTAATTTTATGATTAAATACTGAAATGTTTGTATCGATTCAATGTCTCTTATTCAATATCATCATTTAGTCAGTAACTTTTTAAATGTTTATTTGATTTTCATTAATCCAGAAAAATAATCAAATCATACAATTCCATCACGCTTAATGGATTTAATTTAGTTTT